TCTCATCTACTTTTTCATTTTCCTATAGCACTTATCACCTTCTAACATACTGTAAAATTTACTTGTATTTACTGCCCATTTTTCTTTATTAGAATATACTTTCCACAAAGGCAGTGATCTTTGTTTTGTTCTCTAATGTACGCTAACCTCTGGAACAGTACCGGGCACATCAAATGAGATCAACGTTTGTACAATGAACAAGTAAGTTTCAGCTTATTAAACAAATATGAAGAAATAGTCAATTAGGTTTGATAAATATTAAGACAAAAATATGCATGATGTGCTCTTATTATATAGAGCTTACCATACCAGATAAAATAAGCAGTTCAATGATCTCTGCATCTCCAAGATAGGCAGCAGCATGCAGTGGAGTTCTTTTTTCACTGTCCTGTGATAAGAAGGAAAGGTGGCACATAAGTTTTCATATAAAGTTCATTTTAATATTCCTTAAATGAAAAAAAACCACTTAACTACTAGCTTACTCTTTCCACAACTCTAGTCTAATCTGCAAGTCCCAGAGTATTTCCTTGCTAGGGGGGGGGGGGGGAGTGGCTTTAAAAGAATGGTATAAAGTACAGCCAAGAATTAAAGAAAAAAATCTAAGATGACAAGCCCAGATGGTGTGGTTCAGTGGTTGAGCAACGTCCTATGAACCAGGAGGTCACAGTTCCATTTCAGGTCAGGGCACATGCCCAGGTTGTGGGCTTGATCCCCAAAAGGGGGCATGAAGGAGGTAACCTATCAATGATTCTCTTTCATCATTGATGTTTCTATCTCCCTCTTCCTTCCTCTCTCTGAAATCAATAAACACATATTTTTAAAAAAAGAACTAGCTTTTTAGACTTTCTTTGAATAAAGATACCTAAGCTTCTGACATACACAAATTTTCTTTACTTCATACTGCACTCCCCAACCCCCATCAATATATTTTCATAATTTTACAGTTTAGAGAAGTGTTGACTTAACTAAATAAAAAAATCTTAAGAAACCAAAATTTTTCCTTATAAAAATGTTTCCATAGGAGTGGCCATAGTGGCAAAAAGGGAAATTACCTCTGAGGATCTGAAATTATACCTTAAAACAATCTTAAGGTTTTCCTTAAAGTTCCTGCCAACTCCATTTTTGGCTCTAAGTATGTATTCCTACCTTTCTAAATACCAAAAATACAGTTTTCCAAAATCTTCCTTCAGGCTTGTGTACTTCTCCCCTCAAACAATAATGTTCTCCAGTTTAAGAAACAACATCTTAAAGTCACATTTCAGGATTTTTAATTCATATTTTCAACCCATCTAAAGTTACAACAGTGTTCTTGACTTGGTTGCATCTGAGAAAACTATTCATTTAGACATAATTATTTAGAAACTTACATTGTTTTTTTGATTATAGGCTTTTGTGACAAATTGTTAGTTGTTTTTAGTAGCCCCTTTCCCCCTTTGTCTAGAGGAATAAAGTTTTAGCAGAGAATACACTCCTAGGCTGCCTTGAAGTGCTGTTACTTAGTGTGGAACAATGGTATTAACCCTTTGCGGTCCAATGTTATTTTTGGAATTCAAACAGTCTGGTCCAAATTAATTGACGGGATTGAATGTTGAACTTTTTAATGTTCTTATTGCTCGACGTTGGACCTGCTCCTAGCGCCTGGTCTGTTGAGTCAGCCTCGAGGTTGGACCAAAAAGGGTTAATAGTGGAAGTGAAAGGCACAACTTTCAGGTCATCTTCAACTAAAAAGAGAACCATCTTAGAGATGGACTAATACTTTCCCACTTCCCATAGGCTGGAAGGCAGATGTGAAACTAAGCCAGCTTTGACTATGCAGAGGTATGCCAATATCCAAGAAGTGTCTCAAGCAATACGATCCCGAACGACCTTATAGAGCAGAGTTGCTCCACAAACCTGGACCACAATTTCTCTTAACAGTCTGGAAGTTAAACTTCTTCTTTGAATAGGTGTTGTATTTTGGGGTCTCCTACTCTATCAGAATACTAGAGGCCCGGTGTACAAAAATTTGTGCACTCGGGGGGGTCCCTCAGCCCGGCCTGTGCCCTCTCTCAGTCTGGGACCACTTGGCGGATGACCACCTGCTGGCTTAGGCCCGCTCCCTGGGGGGATTGGGCCTAAGCTGGCAGTCAGACATCCCTCTGGCAGCCCAGGAGCCCTCGGGGGATGTCCACTTGCCAGCAGGGAGCAGGCCTAAGCTCCAGTCGGACATCCTTAGTGCTGCTGAGGAGACGGGAGAGGCTCCCACCACCACCGCTGTACTGGCAGCCGTCAGCCTGGCTTGTGGCTGAGCAGAGTTCCCCCTGTGGGAGCGCACTGACCACCAGGGGGCAGCTCCTGTCTTGAACATCTGCCCCCTGGTGGTGTGTGTCATAGTGACCAGTCATTCCCAGTCGTTCTGCTGTTAGGGTCAATTTGCATATTACCCTTTTATTATATAGGAGTGCCTGGCCAGCCTGGGTGAGGGGCTGAGGGCTGTTTGCAGGCTGGCCACAGCCACTTCAGGATGGAGGTGCCCCCTGGGGTGCCTGGCCAGCCTGGGTGAGGGGCTGATGGCCGTTAGCAGGCTGGCCACAGCCCCTTCACTGTGGGGGGTCCTGCTGGGGTGCCTGGCCAGTCTGGGTGAGGGGCTGAGGGCCGTTTTCAGGCTGGCTAAGCCCCCCAGCGGGGATCCTCACCCCATGAGGGTGTGGCCATCCTGGGTGAAGGGCTGATGGCTGTTTGCAGGCTGGCCATGGCCCCCAGCCACCCAAGCTCCCAGTGGAGGCTGGCTGAAAGCAGGTATCTGGAATTTATTTGTCTTCTATAATTGAAACTTTGTTGCCTTTTGCGGAGGCCACAGCTGGCTCAGGCAGGCGGGAAGCTTGGCTTCCTCCATCATTGGGGTAACCAAGCCTCCTGCTTGCTTCAGCTCCGTGGCTGCCGGCCGCCATATTGGTTGGGTTAATCTGCATATAGTCGCTCTGATTGGCAGGTGGGCGTGGCTTGGGGCATAGCAAAGGTACGGTCAATTAGCATCTTTGTCTTTTATTAGTGTAGATTGTAACTTTCAAGATTTAAAACAATGAAAAAAATTATTTTACATAACTTAACAGTTTGGCAATACCCTAATTACTCTAAGAAAGGACAAACTACTGAGAATAGATTAGGAAAAATACCGCTAGTCAAAAGAGGTTAAAATGTTCATAGGCAATCAAAAAAAGGCTTAGCTGTAATATATCAAGGTATTATAAAACTGTAACAGTTATCACTGGCTCTCCATACACTTCTTCATATAATTTTAATATATTTGTGATATTGTTTATGTCCTTATAATAATAACAGGTGCTCCAGTACAGGGAGACTGGTCTAGTGGCTATTAATGCTGTTTAGTAAGCTAAGAGTTCTTATCTCTCTAATCACAGTGAATTTACACATGACCATGTTTTTTATTCCAGTATGTACCCAAGCAAACTGAATTCTTTGCACAGAAATTACTGAATAATTAATCATTGAAAAAGCTAAAACTGAACCACTAAACTATCAGACTTTATTGAAAGCTGAGTCCTAATTTAGTCATTTTAATAAAAGGATCTTTCAGTGTTAATTATTAAACAGCAAACTTCCCCAGAGTGTTTAAAATATCATCAGACCTACTCAAATTGAGAAACATGTCTACTACACAGGATAAACCATGAACACAGCACACACAGTGAGTCATTTATGTGTGAGGGATGTCTGGAATTCTATGACTCAATGCCTTGAATATTATTCATGTATTTTATGACTCATGGATAAGTTTTCCCGCTCTAAAAAGTAATTTAAGAAAAAAAGGGAATAAATTGTTCCACTAAAATTTAACCTGTCATCTTTAAATTTAACCCAGTTAAATATTAAAACTTGGGCAACAAAATATTTAAGATTCCTTTCAATAAAATTTATTAAAATTAAGAAATTATCCTCTTACATATAATAATTCCATTTCATGGAACTCTTTTAGATAAAGATATTCCTATCTGTGTGCAAATAATAGCTTAGGTATATTTACTGATTATCATAGGAAGCAATATGATGGAAACAATTTAAATGGCCACCAATAGGGGAATGGTTATCTAGAATATGAAACACAAGCTGTTAACCAACCTTCATTTAACTGACTCATGTGATCAATCAATATTTTCTGTTTCCTGAGTAAAACTAATGGAGACTTTGGCACCCCATGTATTTTGACTATTAGATTACCACTAATAAGTCCGTGCACTTTGGTTCCTACCACTGTGTGTTTTTCAATAGTAATATGTGTTTGTTACCACAACTGTTTGTGCCAATTGCACCTGTAATCATAACTATGCAATTTATTAAACTGATGAAATAGGAATTAAAAAAGCAAATTGTTTCCATGACCTCTACATTGAATACTATAAAAAGGCTCAATAAAAGAAGTTACCAAAAAAGTGCTGTTGAACTAGGTGTGGCTGAGACAACTGAAACACTAAGGAAATAGTAAACCCATGAAGAGATTTTTGGCCCAAGTTTGATTCTTACATATCTAAATTCTCACATCACTTAAACACAAAGTGAGAGTTACAGATAATGCAAGGAAGACAACATTAAACGCCTGTCAGTGAAAAGTCCTTGGCCCAATTTTTAAAAAATGGCTGGCAAATACACTTGTTACAGAAAATGCTTAAAGATCACTATTTATGATTCCCTCTGTCAGACTTTGATAAGCTTATCAACTACCAGTTCTGAATATTATCAGATGAGAGGTCTTGTAATTGTACAACCATATAATGAAATACTGTGTCAGCGTTCTGCATCCAATTCCAATGTGTGGGGTTTCCCTTCTGTACATGCAAGCAATGCTCCAACACGAACTGAGGGCCCCATGACTCAACTCAATGTTGACACTATCTCCAGGAGATAGCAACAAGATCCTACAGATTAAGGCTTCAGTCCTACAAGACTGCCACCCCCTCTTCAGACACCAATAGCAAGTCCAGGTTGTCACCTGTATAGCAGTCCCCCTTTATCCATGGTTCTGCTTTCTGCAGTTTTAGTTAACCACGGTCAACCTTGGTACAAAAATATTACATAGAAAATTACAGAAATAAACAATTCATATGTTTTAATTTGCATGCTGTTCTGAGTAGCATGATGGAATCTTGCACCGCCCAGCCTGGGAAGTGAATCATCCCTTTGTCCACCATAGTTCCCCTCCCAGGCTGTTAGCCACTTGGTAGCTATCTCCATTATCAGATCAACTGCCTTGGTATGACAATGCTTGTGTTTAAGTAACCCTTATCTTACTTAATAATGGCCCCAAAGCACAATAGTAATGCTGGCAATTCAGATATGCCAACCAGAAGCTGTAAACTGCTTTCTTTAAGTGAAGAGGTGAGTACAGTACAA